GACGTCATGTGAAAACGATTTATTGCTTTTGTTGACGTTCTCGTTGCCGTCGCCGTCGTGGAATCTTAAGGTCGATCCCTAATGTCTTAGTAATGCAAATGTGTTTTATTATTCTTCAGGTTCAAGTATTCCAATCGTTCTTCGTGTCACTCAACCTCCCTTACTCTGTTATTCGCGGTGAAGAATTGGCTCTTCAAGTCACAGTCTTCAACTATGAGCCTAAAGCCCAACAAGTCACCGTAACACTCAAGGGATCCAAACACTGGGCCATTATCGATGAGGTCAATAAACTCGGGCTGAGAGGCGAAAATCCCGTAAATAAAGATTACGTGGAGAAAGAAATGGACCTCAAAGTTGTGGTGTCTGTGGGAGCTGGTCAAGGACGGGCCATTTCCTTCCCCGTGGTCCCTAGAACATTAGGCCTCGTGCCGGTTGAAGTGCGGGCTCAGTCTACAAGCCATGCTGATGCTGTCAAACGAAACTTGTTGGTTGAGGTAGGTGAACAGTGTGTGTATGCTATTCGGTTGGTGTTCTACGTAGTGCCGACTACAATCTTTATTAGGGAGTTTAACCCTTTAAACCTTATTCTCATTTGTTGCCTCTATTCATTTCCTACAGAAGTAGTGGGGAGAAGTTGATAAAATATCAAGCAAATTCATCTTGTCTGATCTTGTCCAGAATTCTCATGACCACTCTGTTGTTCAAAGCATTGATATTACAAGGAGAAATTCGATGCTGATCACTCTTAGGGCTTAAAGGGTTAAGCAGTGATGTTTTTGAGTGATGCACGTCAACCGGAAGTGGACTTATTGCACAGTTGAGCCGTGATTTTGAACAAATTTTGGGCAGATCGTCTTTTTAAGATTGAATTAAAAGTGACTCTCTTCGATTCCATGTGTAATGTCAAGGTTCATTCATGTCATCTTGAATGCATGAGATAAATTAATTATGCATTGCTCTCTCCAGATAAACCATAATATCTCACTCGTGTCGGATTTTTCCTAATATAATATACAAACTCGTGTGTATAATCAAGTCACTCATGGGATATTTCTGCAAAGCATTGTATGACTAGTATATATTTGTGAATTTGTTTCGTATTCAATTCGATACAACACAATAACTTTATTTAAAGAGGGAGACGTAATAGCCTTAAACAGTTTTCTAACTTACGGCCTGTAGTGTATACGATGCTAATGCAAGCGCGTAGAAGCGAGAGAATGAATGTGATGTAATACACACGGGAATTACGTAATTTGCATGTACTATAGATAGCGTGTGTTGTAATTTATTCGAGTGGGTTAGCGTTCTGAGTTCGGAGTGTAACGGTCGTGAATAAAGTGTGTTTTAACCTAACCGCGGTACTACATTGGCGACGAGGATATTTCGAGGATATTTCAAGGAGATTTCGAGGGTTTCAAGAGTTTCGTTGAAAATTTCGCTGTGGATTTCGTCGAGGATTTCGTCAAGAATTTATTTCAGCGATGCCGGGAGGCGGTGGATCGGGCGAAACTAACGCGACAAGCGGTACTACGAGCGGTGCTGTTGGTGGTTCTGGGATGACTTCTGTTACTTTAGATGTCAGTGGATTGGAACCATTTAATCCAGAAGGAGAGGCGCACAATTTAAGTCAGCGATGGAAGAAGTGGAAGCGAGCGTTCAGTTTGTATGTGACCGGGAAAGGTGTATCGAACGACGCTCAAAAACGTGCTTTGCTGTTGCATGTCGCTGGGATGGATGTGCAAGAAATTTATCTCACACTAGCTGGTGAGGGTGGAGATGCAAGTTTTGAAGCAACGTTAAAGGTGTTGGACGACCATTTCGTGCCAAAGGCGAACATTCCCTTTGAGAGACATTTGTTTCGACAAATTTCGCAAGGGATCGGAGAGACAGTTGATCAGTTCGTTTGTAGATTGCGTCAGCGAGCAGCGACTTGTGATTTTGGCGCCGGCGAGGATGACTACATTCGCGATCAGCTCATAGACAAGTGTTATTCGAGCCATTTACGCCGGAAATTTCTGGAAAAGGAAGGAACTGTTACGCTAGATGAATTGTTGCGTGTTGCAAGATCTCAAGAAGCGGTTGATCGACAACTGAAGCAATACAGTACCGACCAAGCAGATAACCAGGTCAATGCAGTGGGTGGCAAGCTGTATGGAAACAGAAATCCCAGGAAAGCAAAGACGTGCTTTAGCTGCGGACAAGAAGGACACTTCAGTCAAGACAAAAAGTGCCCGGCGCGTGGTCAAACTTGCAGGAAGTGCGGCGAAACAGGCCATTTCAAAGTTAAATGCCCTCGACTCCATCAGCTAAGCAGGACCCATTCGGGATCTAGAGGACCTGAGAGTAGTAGAGGCGGACGCGGCAGAGGAGGCAGGAGTGCTGGTGGACTGGGTCGAGGTGGACGCGGACGCGGAGGGCGAGAGACGAACCTCGTGACTGGAAGACCTAGCCCTGGAGAAGAAGACAAAGGAGACTTCGCTACACCAGGTCGTTCGCAAAGACCCGATTATGCCTTTTCAGTGGAACAGGTGAATGATCGCAAGGAACAAAGGAGCGCTTTGGTAACGCTGGTAATTGGTGGTGTAGACGTACCCGATGTTCTCATTGATTCGGGAGCTTCATGTAATGTTATGGGCCAGCAGACCTGGGAGTTGTTAAAGCAAAAGGGGATTAACTGTGAATCTCGCAAATCTGCAAAGGAACTTTTTGCTTATGGTGGTACAGAACCTTTACCGACCCTAGGAACGTTCACGGCAGATGTCACGCTGGCTGGGTTTGAAAACGGAAGTAATGCTGATTTTGTAGTGGTTGAAGGCGATGGTCGCACGCTGTTGGGCCGAGAGACTGCCCAGGCGCTAAACCTGTTGCGTATTGGTCCTTTTCAGACAAACAGTGTTGACGGTGGGCGATCGGACGGGGATGTCAGAGAGAAATACAAGCACTTGTTTAGTGGTGTTGGTCTTTTGAAGGGCTACGAGCTTAAGCTACACATTGATGAGTCGGTGAAGCCTGTAGCGCAGCATGTACGCAGGATACCGTTCGGGTTACGCGAGAAAGTGGATGCAAAGCTGGATGAACTTTTGGAGCTTGACATTATAGAGGAAGTGCCGGAGGGGCCGTCAGGATGGATTTCGCCGTTGGTGGTGGTTCCCAAAAGCGATGGCGACGTAAGAGTCTGTGTTGATATGCGTCGTGCAAATGAAGCAATCGTCCGAGAGCGTCACCCAATTCCAACCGTTGAGGAGCTGTTACACGACTTGAATGGCAGTACGGTGTTCAGCAAGATAGATCTCAAGTGGGGTTTTCACCAGATTTTACTCAGTGAGGAAAGTCGCCACATCACTACCTTTGTCACGCATCGAGGGCTTTATCGTTACAAGCGGTTGATGTTTGGCGTAACGTCGGCGCCGGAGAAATATCAGCAGATCATTAGAGATGTGTTAAGGGGTTGCGAACATTGCGGACGATCTCATTGTTCATGGGTGTGACGTGGAGGAACATGACAAGCGTCTGTTTGCGGTGTTAGATAGGCTGAGTGAAGTGGGGTTGACGGTGAACGGAGACAAGTGCGAGTTTAGATTGTCAAGGCTTACGTTCTTTGGTCACGAGCTGACTAGTGACAGCATAAACCCATCCGAAGAGAAGATTGCTGCTATAAGAGATGCTAGATCTCCCAAAGACGCAAGTGAAGTGCGATCGTTTATGGGTCTTGTCCAATATTCCGCTAAGTTCATGCCTGACGTGGCGTTCGTGGCCAAGCCTATTCAAGAGTTAACCAGGAAGGGCATCGTGTTTCACTGGGGTAAAGAGCAGCAAACAGCCTTTGAGGAACTGAAGCGTCTAATCACCCAGGCAGAGACACAGACGCAGAACGCGAATCATTGCTGATGCGTCTCCAGTTGGATTAGGAGCGGTTCTCACTCAGCAGCAGGGGGGGAATGTGGAGAGTTGTCTCTTACGCGTCGAGGAGCCTAACTGACGTGGAACGACGCTACAGCCAAACAGAGAAAGAGGCACTTGCCTTGGTTTGGGCGTGTGAACGGTTCAGCATGTACGTTTCCGGACAGAGCTTCGAGTTGGAAACAGATCACAAGCCTTTAGAGCGTGTCTACTCGCGCACTTCAAAGCCTTGCGCCCGAATAGAGAGATGGGTCTTAAGACTACAAGGGTACGATTTTAAAGTGGTGTACCGCCCAGGGAAGACAAATATAGCCGACGCGTTGTCCCGTTTGAACTCCTTGGATCAAGTGGACCATGGAGAAGACTACGACTTTGTCAGAGCCATTGCTTTAAGCTGTATACCCGTTGCTCTATCACCTACAGAAATTGAAGAAGCTTCTTATTTTGACGAAGAATTGACGATGGTAAAGAGTTGCGTGAGGTCAGGGGACTGGGACCGGTGTACACTTCCCTCGTATGCACAAGTCAAGGACGAACTATGCGTCTATGGTGAGCTATTGCTTCGCGGCACAAGGATTGTGGTTCCCAAGCTCCTGCGCAACAGGGTGGTGCGGCTGGCACACGAAGGGCACCAGGGTATAGTGAAGACGAAGTATCGGCTCCGTAGTAAAGTTTGGTGGCCGGGAATGGACAAGGAAGTTGAGAAATTTTGTAAAGTTTGTCATGGCTGCCAGGTCACTTCTGGATTTAACCCTCCTGAGCCGATGTCCCGCGTTCTTCCTCCAAGTGCTCCTTGGCAGGATTGTGGAGCAGACCTGCTGGGACCCCTACCCACAGGAGAGAGTATTTTGGTGGTGATCGATTACTACAGTCGTTTCTTAGAAGTTGCTATTCTGAAGTCTACAACAAGTGCCAAGGTCATCGAAGCACTTGCACCCATGTTTGCCAGATTCGATTTTCCGTTCTCTTTAAGGACAGATAATGGGCCCCAGTTCGTATCCGAAGAATTTGAAGCATATTTACGCACAAATGGTATTGAGCACAGGAAAACGACGCCGTTGTGGCCTCAAGCTAATGGAGAGGTGGAACGCCAAAATCGCTCGTTACTTAAATGTCTACAGATTGCACATTTAGAAGGAAAGAACTGGAGAACTGAATTGCTTGTATGGTTGATGGCGTACAGATCCACTCCGCAAACGACGACGGGGACTACCCCCTGTTACATGATGTTTGGCCACGAGGTTAGGTCCAAATTGCCAGAGTTAAGGAGAGAGACGGTCGGGGTGCCAGGCGAAGAAGTGCGAGAGCGGGATTGGTCAAGTAAATTAAAGGGCAAAGCTTATGCAGATCTCAAGAGAGGTGCCACGCCCAAGAGCATACGTGTTGGTGACACGGTACTTTTGAAAGCCGAAAAAACGAACAAGTTGTCTACCAACTTCAACCCTGCTCCTTTTAAGGTGGTTCAGAGGACAGGAACAGAGGTAACGCTTAGGAACGAAGCTGGTGTGCAACTGAAAAGGAACACTGCGTTCGTAAAGAAGTACAACGAGCACAATGGTGTATCCAATGGCAACGAAGACCAAGTGGTACAAGCAAGTTCTACAGTACAGACAGATGAGCCAGGGCCAAGCAGAGTTCCGGAGACGACAGAGGTATCAGGGCCAAGCGGAATTCCAGGGACTACAGGAGTATCTGAAAATTCCCAAGTACAAGCTGGGCATTCTACCGAAAAGGAAGATGACGCAGCGGGAAGGCCTGTGCGGAGGTCGACCCGAACTATAAGACAGCCTGCGCGCTATAAAGACTTTGTCCTGGATGTTTAGGACTTCTTCTTTTTTTTTCCTGTTTTGTCTAGTTTAATTCAAAGACTTTGTTTTGCTGAACATTTAGGGTTTTTGCAGCCTTTAAAAACTGCCTTCCTGCCAAATTTGATCAAAGAAGGGAATGTAGTGTATACGATGCTAATGCAAGCGCGTAGAAGCGAGAGAATGAATGTGATGTAATACACACGGGAATTACGTAATTTGCATGTACTATAGATAGCGTGTGTTGTAATTTATTCGAGTGGGTTAGCGTTCTGAGTTCGGAGTGTAACGGTCGTGAATAAAATGTGTTTTAACCTAACCGCGGTTCTACACGGCCCTCTAAAGGAATTCTGCAATCAGCATTGCAGTTGAGGGCGGTTAAAGAAGCTGTGTGGCGAAAATTTAGACAAATTCAGCCACTGGGAATGGTCCACCAAATTGAGTGATTCAGAAACCCTTTCAGTCCAGAGAGTGACCAAGATCAATTTTCTCTTTACGATATCAATATACGACGAAAAGAAAAGGGTGTGAGAATTGAAAAAATGGTCACTAAAGGGAAAATGCTGTTGATCTTTTTTTAATACCACTGTAAGGAAATGTACAGAGATCAGTCCGGAGAATTTGGATTTGGCTGTAGGCTTTTACGCTGGCTAGCCATCTTTCCACTCATACTCAATATTTATTATTGTGTTTAAGCCGGAAGGAGTGCCACAAGACTACTCTATCAGTCTGCTGTTGGATCTTAACTCAAGTAAGAATGAAACCTTACTTAGAAACATAATGCATGGTTGTCTTTTGTATTATGTTCATAACCACGAGTTTTTGTTTGCAAGGGGAGATTTGTTTATGAGTAATTTCTCCGTGCATCATTTCAATCATAAATAGTTCTCCTAAACTCGGAAAATTTCACAGAAATTATTTATCTTAAGTTTGATACCGAAGTGTATCAAGAACGGTCTGGTCTCTAGTCGTAAACAGGTTCTGCAACATGACAGGAGTTGAAGTCTCCTAGGTCCATACCCTTGTCTTGTACAAAAGGGCCTACAAAACGTGCTTCGGAAATCCCTCTTGCTCTTCCTGCTTTTATGCTTGCAACGCTTGCCTCGTGCGATGAGAAAGTCTAGTAAGGCATTCGACTTTGTATTTTTTTACAATTCGTAGCAACCCAAAACCAAAGTAACTACTACGAGACAGCACAGTCTAATCGGCCAGTCATATTGCGAAATGTATGTAGCCCACACCAATCGCGGGAAATGGTGTCAAGCAAGTTGCATTTGATTTTGATTTCCAGTATATCCATTCGTTAAGTCCTGTTTACACAAGTGGTTTTAGTGCCATTTTCCCTTTTATTTTGATGTGATTTTAGGTACGTGCGATTTCAAATCACATCGGTGAACTAAAGCGGTCATTTCATACCGGTTTGTCTGTCCTTTTTTCTCAACGAATTTCTGTTCGAGGTCAGCTGAAAACCTATCCTATGTCTCTTGGTGGGTAAGTGTTAAAATCAAATGCGCCCTGCGGTAAACAAGGGCTATTGTACCATCATAACCAGATCTGCCTTAAACATTTTTCATATATCTAACCCACTTAATATTGTAATACAAAAAAACGATCCCGAATAATGTTTTTATTATTACCCTTTTGAAGCTTCAAGCCTGTCACGCTCGTTGGATCTCAATGTACCACCAAACACTGTCAAGGGATCAGCTAGGGCAACAGTTACAGTGATGGGTATGTTTAACCGTGGCCTGCGAATACAGCCGCCTCTTGTCTCTCCCCAGCCCGTTTCTGACGTTTCAGCGTCGGGGAGCGATGACAGCTGCGTAGCAAGCTTGTTTTGCTTTTTTCTTTAACAAACTATCAGTGAATGATCGGTGAAGACATCAATAGGCGACCGACTGTTATTTGTAGTTCTGTGTAATCACACATCACGAAATGTGTGTGTTATGGTAGTTGTAATTTTAGTGAGGGTAAGTGGTATAGGTGTGTGAATTTTTTTTTTTTCAGAAAATGAGCGTTATACCGTGTTTTGCTCATTCTACAAAATGAATCATCCGTTCTTATCTAATAAAGATACCAAAGTGAAGAATTCCAGAATAATTTCCGTTGTAATTTCTTAACAATGTTAGCCCAACATTGATCATCATTAAACAAAGTTAACACACCGTTGATCATCATTATCCTCGTTCAGGTGACATTTTGGGCTCCTCCATAAACAACTTGGACCAGCTTGTGCGCATGCCTTATGGCTGTGGGGAACAAAACATGGTGAACTTTGCACCAAATATTTACGTCTTGAAATATCTTCAAACTGTGAACCAGCTGACCAAGTCTCTTGAAAATAAAGCCAAGGGCTTCATGATCGCAGGTCAGTGGCATAAATCTGACTCACCAATCAGTGTTGTTGCCCTTTCTTCTTTCTTAGTAAATTATTGTCCCAGCCAGTAAATTTGGCCAAACAAGAGCCGTGGTAAGCGGTTAAAATATTACAAATGGCCATGCAAGAGATGCTTGTTGCCTTTTTTTCTCTTTGTATAATTGAAATGGAATTGCCTTGCGAGTTTCCGTTGCGCTTATATCCTTAAAGTAGGAATGTAGCTTGTCTGTCTCCCCAGTAGGTTCTGGCAAAGTACATGCCCATCTCTCAGTTCTTAAATTGCTGGTTGCGCTCCCACCCTCCCCGTTCTTTCCGTACACCTGGGCATTTTTGGATATCTCGGGGGAGACAGTAGAAGATAAGTCTTACTTTTGTCCCCATCGTCCGCCCTTTCCTCCCCAAGAATGTGGACATTTTAATAATGCGGAGATTTTTATTGGCTTATTTTTCATACTGTGTGCAAACTCTTGCCTGAATCTAAGTTGATCAAATTCCCCAAAGTACCCGCTCTTTTCATCCTTTTATGCCCTGGGCTTGAAGGGAGAGGCACAATTTCGAAGAATGCATCGCACATCAGTTATATCATGGGCTTTGGATGGGTTACAGTAAGTTCGTAAATGGACTGATAGCGGCTGCCAGTGGCGCCCTTGTATGCTGACGTCCGATCTTACTGTTAACATGTTAATGTATATAGAGGACGCGTCTTTTTGTCCTCTAATCTACGACATTACATAACATCAATTAAATTACAGATTCTAATTATAGCAAAGCTTGATTTTCTTTACCCCGACTCGTTGTTTTTCTTTTCTAGGCTACCAAAGAGAGCAAACCTACCGCCATAACGATGGCTCGTATAGCGCTTTTGGCGGAAGAGATGGATCTGGCAGTTTGTGGTAAGAATTTGAAATGCGTTTTATCAATATCTTTTACTTTTTTCAAAGGAGATACGACACGGCGTTTTCTTCTTTCATCCTTTTTATGATATCACCGGTTAGCATAAGTCTTTCCGAAGTCAGTAGCTAAGTTTCTTCTACTCCGCTTTTCTATATAATACACTACACTACAGGACTCTCCATTGCTTATCTCAGATTTTGTTAAAAGTAACGCTATTTTGTTTTTACGCAGGTTGACTGCATTTGTGGCGAAATCATTTGCACAAGCACGTGCGTTTATTCCAGAATACATCAATGCTGAGATGTTAGAACAAAGCCTTGCTTGGATGTCTCGTCAAACCAACCGTGATGGTTCTTTCCGAAAAGTTGGAACAGTACACAGTTCTTACCTGAAGGTAGATAACTTGCTCCTCGCACACACTCTCTGGAAATGGCCCTCAGCTCTAATAACTGGATATTACACAGTAGAACATCGACATAAGGAAGTGCTAAGTTATTTTATTTGGAGAAGGGTGAGGGCGTCAAGGCCTCTTTTCGTTACATCTTTTGTCCCGTTTCTCTTGCGTTACCTGGCCGTGGTCAACTCAGAGACCCTTTATTTTTTTTTCATATAAAATAACTAAGACAGTGCGCGCGTTCTGATTGGTTAAAAACCTATGGTTTATGTGCCGGTAAACTCATAGAAAACTTAAAGTTATTTTATAAAACCAACAGACCACACTTTCTGTGGGTTTACCGGCGTGATAAACCACTTGGGATGTTGGGAGAACACTCGAGAAGCTTGTAAATCACTCGCCTTCGGCTCGTGATTTACAAGCTTTTCTCGTGTTCTCCAAACATCCCGCGTGAGTTATCACGTCGGTAAACCCACAAAAAGTGTGGTCTGTTTCTTAAGTCGTTTTCATGGGAGTGCGGGCTATTACGAGACGCGCGTGGAGCATAAGACACACGCGTCGTGGGAAGGCGCGCTCCACTTTTGTCTTGCTCTTGCCTTTGTTCGCAGGACAAACGCAAATAACCCTGACGCCCTTTCTGCAGGATTCCCCTGTCCCCTGTCCCCTCGTGTTTTTGCGTCCATGATGCTGCAGTAATCGTGGGTACATAGTTAAAATCCCTTGTAGAAGTGAATGGTTGTACTTGAATAGTCGGTGATATACCATCTTTTAAAACGTACACATTAACAAGCCTTGTATTAGCACCTCCGTACCTTCCAACTACAACGCTATTTTCAATGTACTCAGGGTGGTCAAGCAGGTACCATCTCTCTGACTGCATATGTACTCATTGCCTTGGCTGAAGCGAATTCCAACTCGAAGGTAAGATTTTCAGTAGTACATGCTTGCTTGCTATTAGTATTAATGACTGATAGCCTCGCTAGCAAGCTGGCCGCCTTATGCACTTTTTTCAAAAAGCAGTGTCAAAGAAAATTCTTCTGTATGTTTTTTTGAACTTTGCCAGAGTTTTGTAGCTACGCTTGATGCCGCGCTAAATAGCTCTCAAACATAAAAATGAACTTCAGTGTCTTGGATGTGAAGAAACGCTTAAGCGATGTTTTCCAATTAAAACAATCAAACATAAACTTGAAAACGGTGGTCGGGTTTTTTCTAGTTTCAGTCAACTTTCATCCAATTCCCCACTTCAGAAACTCTATGGAGAATGTGTACGAACTTCATGTGCAGTGATTTCTGGGATTGTTTGGCAACCACTAAACAATCGTAAGTAACGCTTGTCCACCCATTCCCAGAAATCGTTGCGCTGAAAGCTTGTACCCACTCCCCTTGTAGTTTGTGGGATGTGGAATTGACCTTTTTGAGGTTGCCTGTAGACTGAGTGGGTGTTTTGTCAAATGGCACTATGCGACTGTTTTGGTGGACGAATTTTAACCCAGTTTCCTGCCCAACTTCGTAAATCCATTCAAAGAAGTGATATTGTCCATACGGTACCATAGTGAACTTCGACCCAACACTGACCCAGTCTCACGTTTAACCTCGAAGTGGTCAATCCATCCTAAGTCAAACACACATACTAACACTGATTATGTGCTAGGGTATTAACTTCAATATTCCCCGAACGTATTTGAACGGCTTGATCTATTCCCACCGTATTGTCGACTATTACATATCTTGGTGAAACAGGGATGGGGTTAGCCGATCAATGTGTGTCCTTTGTAGGCTGTAGTTAATGCCAAGAATAACGCCATAACATTCCTGGAAGGCAAGATCGATGCCATGTCAAGTGACGTCAAAGACGCCTACACTTTGGCCATCACTTCCTACGCTTTGACCTTGGTTGGTAGCTCAAGAAGGACTAAAGCCGTCAACGAGCTGCGCAAATTAGCGACCGAAAAAGGTAAACCTACGATTGGCTGACGGGCTGTGTTGTCCACCCCGTCTGGTCTTCAGGCGCTTAACAGTATGCCTTTTGGACTGACAAATCTCCCTTCCTCATTTTAGCGACTAGAAAGATATTAAATTTTGATAGTATCTTAACGTGGCAGGCTGGCGTCTTGAAAAACAGGTCACTTTTGCTTGAGACTAAAGAAATCAGAGTGCAAAATATGTGTTAATGCTCCACTGAGCGGGCCTTTCCCAATGCGTCAGTGTCGTTTTTGTAATACTAGCCAAGAGAACTTGTTAAACGTAAAAAAAGATAGGCGAAATACCGCACAAATGTGCTTGACAAGCTCTACTGACTAAATCACTCACTTGAAAATTCCTGGGGAAAAAAATTCATTCTTAGTATTAGCTAGTATTCTTGAAAAACTGACCACGTTTTTTTAGTGAGCGATCCTGTATAAATGTAGTTTTGGTACCTTTAGTTCAATACCCGCTAACAATATGGCCATGGCGAACAAAATGTGGTTATAATTTACTCAAGTACCTTTGTGTGTTTTTCTGAAATTATGCGTATTATTTCGAGAAGAAGTAGCTTCTGATCGCCGTTCGCTTGTTTTTCTTTTCCTTCAGACGGTCTGATTTACTGGCAGGAAAAACCAGACCATACACCGAACGACAACCCGTGGCTGCGCCCGTATTACCGACCACGAACAGCGGACATTGAAATAACGGCATACGCTCTGCTGGCGTACACGCTGGAGAAAGATATCGGTGTGGGACTGCCAGTTTCACGGTGGTTATCACAGCAGAGAAATTCTTTGGGTGGATACTCATCAACTCAGGTAGATCCCTTTTCACCTTTGAGCCCAAACATGTACGTGCATATTCTCCAAACTTATCTTTGAACGTTTCTAAGGCAACTTGTTTTAAAACGGAGATTTAAGTCTTTTCTTGAGAGGTTTTAGTTGTTATCGTTGACATTTGCGTTGTTTTAACCAAGTTTAAGCATTGCTGTCTTCAATATTTTCTGCTTGACTTTTCGTAGTTTGGCTTTTATTACACTACTCGTTTACTAGAATACGTCCAGAACAAAGGGATGAAATGAAGAACAGAACTTATGTAAAAAGACATTTTATCCACAAAAGTTTGAGTTGTGCTATAGCGTTTGATACGGCCCACCCACTAGGCTTGTAAATGTGAATGCAACATCAGACCGGCCGAAAAAACTATCGACCGGATCATCACACCATTTGTTTTCCTTTAGATAGTGATTCATCCGTTGGATAACGCAATCCAACTTCCAAACCAAAACGCTCGGAGAAATACATTCTTAAATCCCCTATTTCCTTCCTAACGGACGCCTTACCAAGATGGGCTAGTTAAAATAACCGTCATAAATCTTTTTTTTTTTTTAAGGACACAGTTATGGGTCTACAAGCCCTAGCGGAGTTCGCAGAGCTGATATATTCCCCGGATATTGACTTCACTGTTACGCTTACCTCCAGTGCAGACCCGGCCTTTAGTGAGACGATTAATGTAAATCAACAAAACTCCATGGTATTGCAGTTAGTAGAGGTAATTAACCATTTTAGTCCTCTGCTAGGTACGTATGGAATTGGCCATTGACTAGCATAATTTGGTCAGTTTTCCTTTCATTTTCTCAGTTTAAATTTAGTACTCTAGTCAACCCTCCAAGTTGGGACCATTTTTGTCGCCATGGCGCCTACATTTTGGAGGTCTCCCTAAACCAAAAGAGTTGGTTGCCAAATCGCGACCAAGCAAAAACTTTAACTTGGAGGGTTGGTCTAGTAAAGTTTCAAAAACATGCCAAGGCCGGTAGGAGATGGGTGGTGAAGATTGCCCATGATCCGGAGGACATTTAAACTTTCGGTGTTTTCTCCCATGTGAGATTCGACGTCTGACTGCAACCAAAACACTAGGGTAATGCGGCGTGTGCTTTTCAAAGTTTTTGCTGCTGGGGTTTGGAGTTGACTTGGACAATATGGTACAACCCCTTCTCTAGCGCTTTGTAGCTATAAACTGTTTGCATTCTTTATAGATAGCAAACGTGGCAGGGACACTAACAGTGACAGCAAATGGCCGCGGAATAGGAATGTTGCAGGTATGTAAATAGATGTTCATGATAGTGGTAATCACTAACTTATATCCCCGGACTCTTGGCTCATGATGAACTGATGCGTATTCTGTAACTTGATTCTAAAGATGACTCTGACTCTGAAGAAAACTTTGTACCCTGAAGATGACTACCTACCAAACAGGTTGTCGAAAGTCAGTCACTGTCAACAACAGTCCTATTCCTGACTAAACTTACCTGGCCGATCATACAGTAAACACCCGCGAATAAGAGCCTAGTGGATTAAGAACTTCCTGGCAAAAATTTGCCACGTTAATACTCAAAAATGAAAGAACCTGTTTAGCCAAGCAAGATCAAGCAGGTTCTTATCTGTGGGTTACAGTTAAATTATGATTAACACTGGAAAAATTTTACCGAACGTGTTTGACGTTGAGATTGCATACGTATATTACAAGAAAATACTGTGACAAACTGTAATTACTTATAAAAGTATTACTGTAATTCCTACAACAAAAACAGGTTTTTATAAAGTACAGCCTGTAATAGGCCATTTCCGAGTTCCCCCGGGCCTCTGTTTCAAAACGAGGGTAGGTGCTCAGCCTTTGATATGAAATCATTTTTCATTCTCATACAAATAAAACTCATTTTCACAAGAAGGGTTGTGCACCTAGCCTCATTTTGAAAGAGAGGGCTTCATGGACCTTGCATAAAGGAGGTGTACAATGTACAGTTGTAAATACATACTGTATATTCAAGAACCAAACTCAAATTTCTTTTATTGTTCTGGCAATCAACAACAGTGTAACCCTTTCATATAAATTAAGAACCTACTTAGCCTAAATGGCCGATAAATACCCCAAGAAACAAGACGGAAGAACTATTTGCCAGACTTCAAAAAAGTAGGTTCTTATTCGCGGGTGTTTCAGTTCTGTATTCCACCTTCAGTTATGAAATGACCTCTGGGTTCAAACGTTTCGCTGTTCTATAACTTAGGTTGGTGTTTCGTATAACGTGGACAAAGCTCCGCCGGAAAGTTCGTTCGATTTCTCGTTGGTCGTCATGCGGGAAACCGACTATGAGATAGAACTCAAAGCTTGCTCTAAGTGGACTGAGAAAGATCAGGAATCAGGTATGGCCGTGATGGATGTCGGGATACCCTCAGGATTTGAACTGAACTGGGACAGTGTTGACAAGGTGAGAATGCTGATATTTAAGAGTACAAAAAAATGCGCGGGCACGTTTTTAAGCTACTGTCCTTAAGGCATTTGATTTCATCGGACCTTTAAGGTCTAAGACGAGGACGACTACGTGTACGGGATTTCCTCAATAGGGAGCTTAAGCAGCAACGTTTTTGAGCGACGCACGTCAACCGGAAGTGAGGTATTTTCCCTCTTAACATGCCTTGATGATATAAAATTTGTATTCCTTAGCTTCTTTACTGTTATAGAGGCGATTTGACTGAAAATTTGCGCGAAACCACCGCCAAAAAATGAAAAAAGGCCACTTCCGGTTGACGTGCGTCGCTCAAAAACGTTGTTGCTTAAGCTCCCTACTACTAAGTAGTACGCGCGCGTAAACCAGCGTCCTTTTGGAAGGAAAACGTGGTGACCATCATTATTCTACTACGTTTTTTAGCGATATTAGAGAGCTTTAGATTCTAAGACGAGGACGACTACGAGAACGAGATTTCCCCAATACTAAGTAGTGCGCGCGCGCGCGAACCAACGTCATATCAGCGCGGAAAAAAAGATAGCCATCGTCATTCTTTTCGTTTAATAGAGTAACACATGTGTAGAAATATAATAGAAATACCATTTTTGAGACGTGAAAGGTTAATACGGTCCGGTTTATTTCCATTTCCTCTTTTATTTAAAGCTCATGTCGGACTCGTCCCTAAAGTTGAAGCGTGTGGAGTCTCCAGATCGCAAAGTACTTTTCTACTTCGATGAGGTAACTTATTTTGTCGCATAGCCTTCATCTTTGGTTTGTCTTGTACTTAAATTGATGACACGAGAATAACGATCTTTTAATAATCATTCACAGATCCCATCGAGTAAAATGGTGTGCGTTACGGTGACTTTCCAGCGAGCGTATGAAGTGGGAAAACCTCAGCCTTCGACAGCGTCTGTTTACAGCTACTACGAACCAGGTAAAGGGCACTGACACAGTTTGTGTTCAAATGCATGAAGCCTCAAACTTCAAAAAAACAAGGACCTTCTACAAACCCAGCACACTGGAAAGAGCGCCTGTGTTCTCACGTGTTCATGCACACGGCAGAACAGATAACGAAGATATATTAAAGCGATTTTCATGTGAGCTAGAAAATGGTTTTCAAAAAGTGTTCATTAATTGTTTTATCGACCAGTAGTTATAAAAAATCAAAACTCGTTTTGACGCCAGGGAGTCCCTAAGATGGAAGAAGCGACATTCGATTGTCCGACCGTCAGCAAAGTTGCGTTTGGCGTGGAAAATTGCTTTTCAGTTAGCAACAGCGATGCGTCGCGTTTTCGCTAAACCATGTTTTAGTTTTGTCCACGCTTAATCATTTCACTGTAGGAAGCACTTTAAGGTGAAATCCCTTTGGATTCTACTATATTAGTACCATCCGGAGACAAAATCAAATCAAATGGCATGGTCAAGTGTTACATTTTCATTTTTTAATTTTTAATTTTTTCTTTAATTTCTCTTTTTTCCACAGTTAACCGTGCCGTGGCCCAGTACGCTGTCGATTCTCTAAAGGACCAAGGAGTCTGTCGCGTTTGCCCTGATTGTGTCAACTGTGAAGTTAAACCATCTGTAAGGAAAGTGAGCTCAGCACCCGGACTGATGGCTGAAGTCTTGCTTATTTCGCTAATGTGCATCGTGGCTGTGAAATTGTATTAGAATCTTTGTGGTTGGGAAGAGTAATGATGGTACGAAGTACTTACGTTACCAGCATTAAATCGTTTAGTTTTTTAATTACTGAATGACTCCCAATTAGAGTTTGTTCAGTGCGTTTTCATGCTTTGATCATTCTGGCGGTGGTTTAGTGGCTGTACTTGTAGAAGTTCCATGAAGAAATAATAGTTAGTGCTCACCATCAAGAACCCTTTTTAAGCGTAACTACAACTGAAGATATTTCATTAGTACTCACACTTTTTGCTTTCATCTGGACTGCGTGTTGTCCTTTGCGACAAAATGAGGGACTACACGTGGTGTAGTGCCTTCAGGGTTCAATGTAGGAGTTATTAGGGAGCTTAAGCAACTACGACGACGACCACAACGACGACTTCAAAAAAGCAATCGGTTTAATGGTCAAAACAACAGCTCTGCACGTGCATCACGCTTTTTAGTACATTTCTTTGACGTCCACTGCGCAACTTCGACGTGAAACCTCCCAGTGCGGCGTTTTATGGATGACGTGGACATACGACGACGAATTTTCCTTCCTCTTTTTGAACCTGAATAAAATCCTTAAGAATTCAACTCCGGGAAACGTCACGGGCGTTTGACATGTTGAGCGGCTCCAAACAGACGCGATTAAGTTTGAGAGAATCCATTTTTTTGCCGACGTTTTCACTGCCGTCGTCGTCGTCCTTGCCTAAGGTCCCCAATTCTCTAAAAGCTGTGTTGAACGTTAAGAAGGTCTTAACGTCTGAAACTGCATTCCCAAAACCTAAGGCCCAGTTCAGACGTCGTGCTTCTGCCGTGCCGAACTTAATTGAAGTTTGGTTCGACTGTAGCACGGCAGGAAAACAACTTTGATTCAGACGTCGTGCCAGAGTCGAACCAAATTCAGGATTTACTGATGCCTCGTAACAATTCTTCTCCCTGCTCCCCGTGGGAACACAATCTCGCCAAAATACTTTAATATAATTTATGAATTTTGGTTTAGCGCGGCAGAAGCACGACGTTTGAATCGCTGCCGTGCCAGAGCCGTGTAGCACGACAGTGCTTGTCGAACTTAATTGCTTGCCGAACTTAATTCAAAAGTTTGATTCAGACGCCGTGCTTCTGCCGTGCTTTTGTCGAACTTAATTCCTGAATTTAGTTCGGCACGGCAGAAGCACGACGTCTGAACTGGGCCTAAGGTGTATAAGTCTTTATTTTTTTGCAACAGCGGCTCATTCTTAAAATGCTAAGGACACTGACTTCATAACCGAGCTGGGGTGACTCCTTAAGTGCGACCCTGCTGTGCAGTTTATTTTAGAAATGTAATGACAGATGACGTCACGTTAGCCATGTTGGTATAACCCAACAAAAGGCAAATCCTGCTGACGTCATTGTTTACATTTTTGCTCATTAGCATGCAAGTTAGCCCAGAGAAAACGTCGCTGTATGTGCAAATTAGGTTCAAAAGTTGAAATAGTTGGTTAATTTGAAAAATTTGTGCAATTTTCAGCTCTCTGCAATCAACAGCAAAGGAAATATAGGCAATCAAAAGCTGCGAAATTGCTGGGTGGCAAAAACGTTTATAAGTTCATACATTCTTTTTAAAGTTTGGGTTTTTTCAAAATGAACTTACTCCGAATTTATTCGGTGTATCGGGTTCAAATGTTCAGAGATAACTGAAATTGTTATGCTCTTACTATAATCCCAGATTTTACTTTATTAGCGTTATCAGATAATAATAAGCCATGTGTTAATGAGGCAAAAAATGTAAACAATGATTCGCCTATAACCTGAGTATCAGGGTTTCCTTAGGGATCAGGAGAGAGGAGATTTGAGATTTGAAGGGGAAGGGGGAGAGAGAAAGGAAGCTGTCGCTGTCTCCCCTTTTTGCTTCTCTCTTCTCCTTCCCCCTACCCCCATTACCTGCTCGGGTTTATCATTCATAGATTTATTCTTAGCGGAGTAATTGCTATTAAATAGCCAGAATATACTGTGGATATGAGTTATATACTGTAGACATAGGAAACAAGATACTGTAAGTTAAACTGTGAGAACTTAGTAGTGTTTTTAATCGATAATTTTTTACACTATGCCGACGTTTTTCTCTCTTCATATATTGCTCAATATATATCCGAATAAAATCAACTTTTGATGTCATCAAGTTACCTCATACTTTATTTTTGTTTCAGTTTACGATTTGTCATTTCTTCAATTCAGCTGTCCATAAACAAAAAGGACACAAAAACCCAATAGATGAAATGACCTAATATCTGAACATTTCGACAGAATTAATAACTAAACTTCTAATAATTTTCGGTGAAAGTCTACAAATCAAAGAAGGATGGACACTGTGTTTAGACCTTATTGAAGGTTTGTTGATCATAAATAACATTCAGTAGCTAATACCTCAGAAATTTAAGTCAAATTTTCCACTTTAAAAAACGAAATTAAAATATTAGACATTGCAGTGGAAATCCTCAGGGTTGCTCAAACAATTTGATCACATTTCCCCCTTTTTCTCACAGATGATGATCAGGTGACGTTGACTTTTTTCACTTTTTGAAGAAAGTCCGCATGCGCACTATGGACCTCGACCCAGTGCTCTTGGCCTTTTACTTTCACCATCCACGCACAGAGCCTGGGCCAAAGTTCTAAGTCCAACTCAACTAATTCGGCTTGGCACATGATAGTCGCCACATAGCTGTCGGCTACCGTTAATTCCGATCCACACAAGAAAGGATGATCTTGAAGATAAAAGTTCTCAATAACCTCTAAAAGTTCACTGGTCTGCGCGAGACCTCTTTCTACCAGTTCCTCTGTGTCCGCGTCGTTAGGCAGATGAAATCGCTCTAGCAATTGAGGATACACGTATTTGTAGCCCAGAGCACTGCAAAGAAAAAAAATAAACATAGAAGATCCGGTAAGTAGAGATAAGAAATATTGAGTCCCTTCCAAAACACTATTGACGGATCATATCCACAATATTCAGCAATTATCAGCTCCAAAGCGGTTTTTTTTTGAAGTCGAAAGAAAGAAAGTGTTTCACCAATGAAATGTTTTTCGTTTTTCGTTCGTTTGTCTGCTTTAATGCCTTCCTCTGTAAAATCAATGCGGTCTGGGTGGAGTGGGGAGTATATAAACCCTTCCGTTAAAGGATTATAATCTAGCTGTGGAGGAGAATTTACAGACATTTGAAGTTAAAAAAGAGTTTTTGTTTTTTGACAACATTATACTTCAGTTTAGCACTTGCAATTCGACTTTTGCTGATAACTTCTTATTGTGACGTCAGAATAGTTTAAGGAATAAAACAGTTGCATTATGATTTGTGAAGTTTATAGCCGAGTCGCGAACTTGATTAATTAAAGGACAATACATTAACAGGGGTAGCTAAATGTACCACAGGATACCAACTAACTCGTATTGGAAAGAAGAGCTTCAGTTAATATTCTTACTTCAGTAACTTGGAACTGGCCCAGTCTAATACTGATTGCACTTTATGTCTGTCATGTGGCGCCTTGCCCCAGCCGGCGAAGTCCGTGTACCTTTGAGCCAAATAACGTAATATTGGCAACCTGTAGGAAACAAAATTGCGATCAAATCTGTGTAAACTTCTTGCAGTTTGGGAAACAGTTCCGGGGGGGTACTCCCATATGTGAGCTAGACAGGTTTGTGCCGCCGGATAGGATATAGTTTTGAGGATCTTGACCCCTTTGTAGGATATCATTTTTGCCCTTGTTGGCATTGTGTTCACCGTTTGATCCTTAATCAGGGTTCCTAAATTTTATCAGCTAAAATCCAAGCGCGTAAATGTCCAGCTTCAAGCGAAACAAATCATCTGTTAAAACTGAATTAGAGTATTAGCAAGTGTATAAGACGTAGTATTAGTTTACCCCATTATATTCTTAGATTTTGTTTTTCCCTTGAATGTATATAAAGTGTAATTTTTCGGCTTTGATGTTTGAATAGGGCATGAATTTTCGCTTGTCTTGCCTTGAATAGACCTATTCGGCTAACTCAATGTTGTACCCAATTCAAACCCTTTGGGATTAAAACTTTTTGTTTCAGGAATTTCCATACATTTAAACGAGAATGCTACATTATAATGCAAATACAGTACACAAAGAATCTTGAGTTAGCCGAATAGGTCTATTAGGATCCTGGGCAGCACACACCAATCCAAACTAATTTTAGTGAGTACCCAACTGGGGGAAACAGAAAGATGTCTCTTTTTGTTAACACTGTAAGAAATTCCTTTTCTTCCTGCCACCATGTCAAACAGAGGGAATGTAGCGTTCAGTTTACTCGGAAGAATGTTTTTAATGAGGATCCAAATTGAAGTATCTATCAGCTGTAACATTGAGATTTATAACCAAATAACCTTCCTTTGTAAGACTGCCTTTCTTGATCTTCCTCAGGAAGAGAGGCACTGCCTTTCAAAATATTGGCAATTGTACCAAGTTTACAGCCATGCTCGTTTTCGTTTATCAAGAGCAATGTCGAACACAAATTTGCCTTAGAAATGTTCATTCATTCCAGTTCTTATGAAATATTAATGAACATATGCGAACGCTCTGCAGCCGGTAGTTCATTAATCTGCCTGGGCAGCAAGACATAATTTCGGTAGCCAGCCTTTCTTTTGTATGTGTGCTGTCTGTAGGTACAGTCAGAAAAGAAGCCAGCTATTTATGTAATTGTTTTAACAGGCCTGAAAAACAAAGATAATCAACCTCAACGAGCAAGCAAGTAAGCAAGACAAAGCAAACTAAAGACACTAAAGCGCAAAGCAAAACAAACCCTCCGAAAACTGTCGTTTTCCCGTCGGCCAATATCGGAACTTCTTCGTGTGGATTCATGGCTACGAACTTCGGCTCTCGGTGCTCACCGTGGAAAACATTGACATCGGTGATTTCACAAGGTATCTTGTGCTATAAATAGAATGGGTATATAAATGAAATCCATTTATGAGTGTGTAAACGAAATCATTCGGCACGCAGACTAAATGAAAGAAAGCAATAATAAAGAGGATTAGGAAAACATATTTTAAAAAAAAGAGCTAAGTCGTCGGAAATATGACATTATCTGTTTTATGGACCAGCCTCGGAAAACAAAATAAAACATTGGATGATAGACTTTACATACATACCTAATCGTTTCTTCAATTAGCAGATGTCCGTATTAAAGCCTTCACACCTCTACGAGCACAAGTATTTAAAAAGCGAAGACATGCTGTTTCCAAGATCCAAACCTCTGTCCCTCAATTTGCATCAGTACACCGCCAATACAAAATCCTTTCGGCATGCTTTTTATTTTATACAAATAAAAACTTACGGACAGCACCTCGGTTTATTTTGCAATTTCTTGACTGCCGAATGCGCAAAAATTAATAAATGCGTTAGGGTATTAAAATTAAACTAAGGTTAACAAATTTACACATGAATATCTTAATGGCAATATCTTGTTGTTGTTATTTTCAAAAGCACCGTGCGATTTCTGTTATGGCGAAAATATAAAGGCCTACTTGCACAGAGCTCCTCCGAAGCCGGCTAAATATTAATGGTTTAAGTAGTAACAAACCGGTCTGACTCACCTGTAACACGTATAACCACACAATACGACAGCACGGCGATATTCGCACGAGGTAAAGCTTTAACGGTGTTTTTAGCGACGGTTTGCTGCTTGCCATCTTTCACACGCACATCATCACTAAAATATAAATGTGTCACTAAGAGCTGAAAGATTTGAACTGTGTTTCCTCATATAAGTGTTTTTCCATTTACTAAAACGTTCATTAGCGAGTCGGTGCGGAAGTTGTTAAAGCAGTTACGAATAGATTCCAATTTTATGCACCAATAGCCTCCGCTTGAATTAATAAGCAGTTTCTTTCCTTGTCAGGTTCCAAATGTCATCTGATTTGTGTTTTTATTCCGCACAGGTGTACTCACATTGAGAATCAATTTGCTCCTTATGACATTGTAAAAAGATTATGTGGCAAAACTGATTATGAGGAGCTTAAAAAAGAAAACAAATCATCTAAATTGTAAGCTCTCTTTTCGGTCACATTGGAACGAAGACAGACTGGCAGCCGTATATATTGAAGAGCTGGCTCACGGTTCATCATTTCTAGATTTACAAAACTTGTTTCAAGAGGGTGTCAGGCTAGGTGAGGAGACGTGTCTGTTTGCGGGGGAGTCGTCAAGTGCACTGAGTGGCGAAGCCGATCACAACTAAACTCACCCATTTGAAGCAGTTGCGCCGAATTAAAAACGCCAACTACCCAGGCTAGCCATGTTGAAATAGGGCTTTGTCTCCTCCGGAAAGGTTTGCCTCCTTTCATCTTACTCAGTGGATTCTAACGGAAACGGAGAGCTGCTTTGAGTGCCCCTGCGGAGAAGAGCAATATCCATACCTGAATATTCATGTTGAACTTTGTTGAACAATATTGGCTCTAATCATTCTGTTTAACTAGTTGTCAAATGTCCGACAACTACAGTCAGTCTTTAAAATTGCTGAATTTTTTTCTTCCCATTCAGCAACTGCAACATCGCTTGCCGTTTGTTGAGCAACAAAATTTGAATGATGTTAAACCCTGTCACGGCATTCAATTTAACAGCTTGTCATAACATGTTGTTTGACATTAAAAAGATTATATTCAACATGTATAACTGCTGCTGCAAGCGTTTGAACGAAAATAGAGACAAACTCTATTGACTCTCTATTTTTTCAACATGATGCAACCTGCTGAATGATAAAGTTAAGCCTATGTATTTGTTTTCAGCTGATTTTCATGCTGCAGCCCGGGCTGAGCTTTTTATATTCTTTAGTCTGCCATCAGGCTCAACTTGTGCGAGTTCGGGGAAAATTGTGGCGGCGGAGCCACCAACGCGCAAGAAAGGGTCATTTTTCCTCCCGCGCTGGCGGATCCGCTGCCAGAATTTTCCTCGAGGCTATTTCCGGCTCCCCCTCACCATTTCTCGCCAAAAGTCGTTAGGATTAGGAGTTGTTGTACAACAAGAATCACTTCGTGAATTTTACCGGGGCCACTTTTGTCTTGGCAACCCACGTCTTTTTCATCAACAAGTTTGCCGGGCGACATGAAAATCTTTTTTATTCCAAATATTCTTTAGAGATGAAAACAAGGTGTAATGAATAATGTGAAAAGGCAAAATGTTAGGGAATCCCGAATTTTGAACAGTTGAGAATTTGCGCATCTCGCTAACGTAAATATTGCGTGACAAAGGTTATTTGAAAATAGTTTGTTTTGTTGCTTCATAAGTCAAAGCAGTGATAGACTTCCTCCTAATGAGTTTTACTTGTTTGTCGGAAAATATTTGACGGAGTTTCCTGTTGGGAGTGCGAATTGTAAGGTACTGAAACGCATAAACAAAGCTTGGCGCATGCAAGTTTAATAAGTTAAGATTTTTGCTTTGTCGTAGTGTACACAGTTCTACGTCGATCAAGCTTTGTCATCGCTAGGATGAACACTGTAACAATATTTTGCAATAGACAGGGATCTCATTTATTGATAAGTGGTAAATATAGTCGCATTAAACCATTCCGTGTGCAAACTAATCGAATTAATATTTACATGGTTACAGTTGTTGCTCCCTACTTCAAATTTCTGAACCAACGATATATCTCAGCGAACACTCCCAAAAGTAACGAGCCAGCGATATATCTCAGTCAGCGATATATCCCTAACAATGTAACTTTGAAAACACAGAAACGCGTTGCATTTTATGACCGGTGCCAGCCTTCGGCTAGGCCCCGGTAAAAAGAAACGCGGATTACGACTTTTTTGCCACCAAAATTCTATTAGGGTAACAATCCTCTGGTCTTATATCGACGATATCCTATCGCAGACTAATCTAATGAAACCAACAGAGAAAATGTGAAACTGCTTGGAAACATACCTCACCCATATCCGATCGAGGACGAGGCTGGCTAGATGCGGCTCAATAACAATTAGCAAAACCTAGTCCGAGGTATACTACGTAAGAGGGGTACTAAGAGTAAGAACAATCTCAAAGGATAAAGAAAAATAGAAGAAGAATGGAAGAGAAAGCGATAAATGAATGACCGTTCCAGTCTTCACACCTTAATGGCGGTAAAAGCCTGGGACGAGTTGCCAGCTCGCAACGGTTACCAAGTCAACAAACAAAATGGCCGATAGGAAAAGTTAACCCGAGCAAAACAGTAAGTGAATTTTACAAACCACAGGACGATGTCCCACACAAAGCTTCCTCCACTTCCACCGTGAGTACATTTTCCTATATTTTAGCCTATTAATGTCACAGTTTAAAGGTGCTGAAGATCCTGGACATCAACTTTGAACAGCTGAGGTTTTAGCAATGTGTGGATAACTGGTGCGATGATCGTTTTGCTGAAAATCACTTCAACTTCTCAACCAATTTTCATAGAAACCCAGTGTACTGTTGTGTTTGTAGTGTACTACAAAGTGTGCGTGTTACCGTAATACTGTGGCAACAGAAAAGATAGGAATTGGTTTTGCAGGAATAGTTTATAGTTTTATGTGGCCTGTAAGCCTATAATTTTTGGGGAGAGCTGGTTTCAACAAACCTGGGCTCGATGATCGATAAATTAATCTGGTTATTTCCTTTCTAGGTCTCTTACAAACTCTCCTTACACAAATACCAAGGCTTTAAAGCAATACACTGGACTTACTGGCCCAAGTTACACTCTAACAGGCCAATCAGGGGCTCAGAAGTATGCACTCCCTTCAGCTTCTGTTCTGCAGGTATAGAAGTAAATTTAAATTTTGTTTCTCATGACAGTCCTAAATGATTTTTCTAACTGAAATCTTGGGTTTATCGTGTTTGAGCAGAATACCAGATAAAAAATAATAATAATAAATTAAGATAAATATTTTTTTGTCTTTTGCATTAGTCAGTTATAAACTTGAAGGTTCAACATTATGCATGCACCTACCTTTTGGTGAAATTATTCTCAGGGTCTTTTTTCTCCTCTTCCCCCTGAACAAGAGAGAGGAAAGGAAGAAGACAGACCCTGAAAACAAGACTGATTGAATTAGAGCTGTTCACAAAGAATTTAAATAATATCCTGGGATACAGTAATAGCAGTACCTCCGAAATGTTTTACAGTCAGCTCTCTCTAAGACAGACACCTTTGGGACCGGCAAGTGTCTGTCTTAGAGAGATGTCCGTCTTATAGAGAGTCAAATAAAGGGAGTAAAGAAAGGCAGGGACCAACTCTAAGCGTCCATTTTACAGAGGTGCCCATCTTATAAAGGTGTCTGTTAAGAGAGGGTCGACTGTATGTGGAACTGTGACGGAGGCTGTTTTTGGAAACGGTGGTGTGAGCTACAACCATTTTAGTCTGTGAGAGCATGACACAGTAGCAATTGTCATATGCTCTGACACAATATAAATGTCTGTTCCAATTTTGCATTTAAAATTAACCATGGCTTTTGGTTTGATTCCATTAATTTGTATTCCAGCCCTATATAGACACACGGGCAGGCACTTTGGACACATGGCCAGCACATGCTCTTGGTCCCAGTGCTCCAGATCTAAACCCTGGACAGGCCAAACAAACAAATGAGTTTATGCCCAAGGGAGTGCACAAGCCAAAGTTTCTGGAACAACTTGAGGCCTTCTTACAAAAAGAATTACGTTCCCTAGATTGTGCTGAGATGATTCCAAGTGAGAAAAGACTGCAGGTATGTAGTGATAGTTGTACTGATCCTAGATGCAATCTATACAACGATAACAGCATTCATACAGATCATAGAAAACCTAGAAGGTCATGAAATTTAAGAATAAATATTTCATAAGTCATGGAATTTAATTGTTGGTCATGGAAAGTTGTGGAAAATGTTGTACATGTATATGTTTTGGTAGATTAGTTAAGTGCAGATGTCCAAGCAAGGACAGAGTCTAAGACAGAGACAAGAAATAAAAATAGTGTGAATGACACACATGTTGGTGGATACCAGCGTTTGTGTCTGTTGAACTGAGTTAGGTGGGAAAAAATCACCAAAAAAAGAGAAAGTTTTTAAATTTTTTAAAAGAAAAGCTAAACCTAAGGTCATGAGGTGGGAAAGTTCTTAGAAAAATTCATAGAATTTTAAAAGCTCAAAAGGGTGCAAACCATTCATAACAAAGTCGTGAAAAGTAAAATTTTAAATTCTCTTTTTTTATTATCAGGCCTTTAGGGAAGTGTTTGAATACTTGATAGAAGATTTTAAGACATACAAGCCTCTACTGTCAGCAATAAAGCATGAGTATGAGATGATGTTGGTGCATCAGAGAGAAAAGATGAGAGAGCTGGAGCCACTAAAGGTATTTCCTAAAAAAAAAACATGAACACTTAAAATATTATTTGAAGTGTTGCAAGGAAAAGGCTATCAGGCTTGTGTGTTTGTGGTGTTCAATTTGCTTAATATTTTATTTTCTAGAGCATGCTTGTGACAGTTTCTGAACAATGTGAGAAGAAGCTGTTAGCTGTCAAACAGGAAGAAAAGTCTGGTAAGATATATGATTCATTCGTCCTTTCACTCCCAAAAGTGGCCAGTAAGTGAAAATTCAACTCAATTTCAAAATTTTGTTTTATAAATTTAAATGCTAAAAGAAAAGCAAATAGATGTAAATACATGTCCCTTGCTTCTCTCTTCCTCTTTGTGGGAAAAGCATTGCATGATGTTACAAAGAAAGGCTGTGTATGAGACCATCTATTTGATAGTGGCTTCTTAGTTTATCAACCCCTTCCCCCCCTCCCCTCCCCACTCCAACCCAGCAAATCTCCTCTAAATATCCTTTAATTTGTATTCAGATGTGTTAGAAATGAAGAAGGAAAATCAAAGACTGCAAAATGTAATATCAGGACTCAGGTAAAGACCCAGTAGCCTTTCTACTGTACAATCATACATGTAAAATAATGTTACAGGTCAAAATTAAATTCATCTTAAAAAGTTTTAACCTAGGTTGATTCTCAATTTCCTTTGTCTCCTAGCCCTAATTCATGAGTAATGTGTGGTTCCAGAAAATATCCATACCCCCCCCACGGAAGATCATTGGAAATTCCAAGGGGGAGGGGGGGGTCATCAAAGACCCCCTTGGAATGGAAAATCCTGGGGGGTGAGGGGTGCAAATCAAAGAATCTTCCGTGGGAGGGGTATGGATATTTTCTGGAACCACACAATTAGGGATAGTAGACAAAGGAAATTGAGAATCAACCTAAATTAAACAATTGCAAGCTGAATTTAATTTTGAGCTGTAACATTATATATATTATATATCAAGTAAAATTCAGTAAACACAACAATTGTGACAATCATAATAACTCATACTAGCTTTGCTTTAACTGCATGTCCCAAGATTGAACAACTAGCACCGCTTGGTAAAGCTTACATGTCATCCTGCACAATGTGCTTTCTGTCTGAGGACACTGACCTGATAGAGAGCATATAAACGCTCACTAGTCTATGCAGACTATGTAATAGTTAGCTGAACTTTGTGTTTGTACAGCTATGTGTAAGGTAGAATCTGCTTGATTTTGTTGGTCAAATATTTTTATTTTACGTTATGGTCTGTTGCTCTTTTAGGGAAGAGCAGATATCTCTTCAAGTTCAAGTTGAAAAGGTGATGAACCTGTATAAAAGTTTACTATGAAAAATGGTACACACTGTAAGGATTATCTTAAAATAAATTATTTATTTCAAAGCATCCATTTTAATCCATCCATGTTTTCCAAAGCATCCATTGTAATTAGCTGACCTTGGGAGAGCACCAGTCTGCCAAGTGGGAGGTTGTGGGTTCATACCCCCGCCAGACCAACAACCAGGGTCTAAAACTGGTGAGGTCATGCTGGCTGTGATTTGAGACCTTGTCTCAGTTCAGATGATTGCATCAATGGGCAGTGACATTAAGCCGTTTGCCTTGTCTCCTTCGTCCTTCTTTCATTGGTCAAATCAAAGGGGACATAAAAGAGCCAGCACTACTGTTCGAAAAGAGTATTTCCCCGGTGGTCTGGTCTACCCTCCGTGCATCACGCATCGTTCATATCATGTGCTATGGGTGGGTTACAGTAAGCTCATCAGTGGACTGATAGCGGCTGCCAGTGGCGCCCTTGCATGTGTGTTGATGTCTGAGCTTATATATAATGTAAAGAGGGCACGTCTTGTTCTCCTCTAATTGACGTAACTACATTACATTACATTGTTGGATGCCCCCCATGCGACCTGTACATACTTAGTATACACTATTGCAAGTGCGTACTCAACATACAAATTTATATTGACTTTAAAATTTGCTGTTAAGATGGGATAAGTCAATTAGTGAAATTATTAGGTGTATCACAGGGCAGGAAAAAAAATTTGGAATCCACTTGCCTAGTGGGCAAGTAAATTTTAGTTTTCACTTGCCCCTAATTAAATGTTTCTTGCCAGAAGGGAACACAATGTTTCATGATCTATAGTTCAAATAAATTGTCTCACTGATCTTGCAGTCTTCAGTTCTGAATTAGTTTTCTTTCTGGAAATTATCTTTTACTAAGCTGATACTTTCCGCTGGGCCACCAAACTTCTATTTTTACTTGCCCTGCGCAATCGGACCTGGGTTTTTTTCCTGCCGTGTATCATACTTACATGAAGATTAGAGAAGTACTGTAAACATAGCTCCAGTTTCTTAAATTCTATGGCTGTGATCTTGCATTTGTCCATAAAAACCACTGAGGAATAGCTCATTTATAAGTTTAAGTAAATTTACTTTTTCTTCTCTTTGCAAACAGATATTTAGTGTTTTAGAAACAAAACGTTCAACTGACTGCTAATTTTTTATTTCAGCTACAAGAAGAGTTAGCTGCTGAATATTTACGATATAGAAACGAGTGTGATGCCAGGTATTAACGACAAATGAATGCATGCTGTGCCATATCATGCAAAGAAGTAATTGCCATAGGATAAGGTGCTGAACGCAGGCACCGAGGTTTGGGATGGGCAAGGGAAGATTTTCCCCCACCCCACCCCTCAAGTGCTTACTCGCAAGCTAAACTCAGAGAAAAGTGATAGCTTGAGAGGTGAACATAAAGAGAAATACATATAGTGTCAGCGTCAGTTCCTTACTCAACCACTTGCCATCTAAACAGTCCAACTTAACTTCGTTGGCAATTGACCCGCGTTGTGAGTATGATATTGTACAGATCGAATACTTGCTACGTTTTAACCCCCATAAAAGATGATGACTTTTTTACCTTATTTGAGACCCGCTTATGGTGGTTTAAACAGCTTTTGCGATCTTTGCACAAGTAGTCAGGCATTACAGTGTAACTACTTGCATCAAAGAAAATCGTTTGCCGACGATAGCACAAAATGACCTGTATACTTTTAATTTTGTCAACGTATTTTAGGAAGATGTTGATAGCTGATATAAATGAGTTAAAATATCAACAAGAAGACGCCAAGAAACCGAATGCAGAGGAAGAAGGCGAAGGAAAAGAGGATGTCACATTCCTTAAACTCGCGCTGAAGTAAGTACCACAAACGAAAAGAAATCCCATTACTGATTCTCCATTATTCTGCAACTCAGGCTACGTTTATACGGCAACGGACGAATTTTCGTCCGGCTGAAAAATTTGACCGGACACTTCGTTCACACCAGCCCGTTAGATCTATTATTTTTGCTCTGTTCTCACAGAACTTTAAACGACCAGGCTTCTAAATTTTCGTACTATTAAGGTCGTTCCGTGTTAAAGGGACACCTAAACGCACGAATTTTCAACCGGTCAAAATTCGTTCGTTGTCGTGTGAAAGAAGCTTCATTGAAAAGAAAGAAAGAAAGAAAGAAAGAAAAGCCTTCTCTCTGACTCTTTCGTTTTTCTTGTGGCTTTTTCTTCTTGCAGGAAAGCAAGAGAGGATCTTGATGCCAAGAGTCAAAAGCTGGCAGAAATGGAGGCTGATTATGGAGATGTTGTGCCGAGAAGGGATTTTGAAAGACTTGAGGCCCAGTTTAACGTAAGCGTTCCCTTTACTGTGTTGCCTAAACGAAAAGCCGAAACTGTGAGAACCTGAAATTTTCGTTAGACAACACCAATGGTAACAAAATATATAGCCGAGACGCCTGTCATTCTCAAATTCATCATTTTTTAAGGGGCCGTATCACAGCAGTCCAATCCATTTTGTTAAGTATTTTCCCATGGTGTTTCCAGTCACTCGCTCTTACTTGTTATGAAACTCATTGATAGCGAAGACATTACCTGTAAATAACAAAATCCTGACAACTTTGTTACAAACGAATCTGCCTCTTAAGCGTTATATACAAAAAAGCAAATAACAAAAGCACCTAATTGCAATCTGTCTATAGTTAGCTGGTCAATTCCTACTGTCTGAATTTGGCTAAATTCTCCCCTTGGCTAAGACGAATTAGTGAGTGATGCCTTTTCCTTTCGCAAAAACTGTAATTTTCTGTGAATAGAAGTAACTTATAAATAGTAGCATGCACTTAAACCCCTTCAAATATTCCTTGTCCCATTTTTTAAAAAGAGAAATTGATGTTCATGTTTTTTTTTTTTTCACAGAAATTACAGAAAGATATGGAAACGTTTACCGTGGATAATCAGAAGCTAATGCAGGAGCACAAGTGAGTTTGTAGCTTCATTAAGCAAGGGTAAAACGAACCGAGAGTTTAAACGCTGGAAATAGCAAAGTTGAATTAAACGTTCAGGGTTAAAAGTCTTTACTTAAAGGGGGAAGAAAATTTCACCATCTACACTCTATACGCTTTTCAGAGGAATCAACAGTGAAACTACTCAAAGTATCCTGTCAGTTGGACTCACAACCGGGCTGACTCTGAGTCCATCACGTAAACCCTTTGCTCCCAATGCAGTCGTTTATAGCTGGAGAGTCTTGAGGGGAAACATGGCCGCCCCAAAAACGACTGGGTAGGAGATTAGCTAATCCTTCGAGCACACTTTGCTCGAACCAGGGATTCAGCATTATACGCGCAACCAATTTTACTTGGGAAAGTCAGCAGTCTGCAGGTAAAACAATGAAATAGCTCAAAGCGTTTAGAAGTTCGTGTATTTCAGTGATATTATTGTCCTGGTTTGTTAGACCCTCTCTGTTTTCCGTAAGGTCTTGTCAAAAGGTACAATATACAAATATCTGCTTTTTCATTGAAATTTTCAGTGCCATTCTTGAAGTGCACAAGAAGGTGGTGGATCAGAGAGATCAGTACGCACATGACTGTGAGCAGATGAGAAGAAGTGCCACACCCAGGTAAGTACTTTTGGCCGTACAGTGAAGTGTTCATAACATGGGCAACAAAGGGACAGAGTCCGTATTACAGAGGTCTCACTTATATTATTTGAAATCTTTAGACTCGAGGACGTGGATCGACTCGGTAGATAACAAAAAGTATCGTGTTTTATTTGCACCTCCATACTTCTTTACTCTTGTTATGTTTAGGCCTCATTGGGAGAAGTGTGCACAGTATGTTGAAGGAGGAACAGATCGATGGAACGAGTTGTCTCAGAACAGAAGCAGTGATGAGCTAGTGGATGTGTTGCTAGCGGAAATGACAGGACAAGATATTGCTATCATACAGGCTGGTGTTAGCACTGGTGCTGAATACTTTCAAGGACAGGTAAAAATTATTCGAACAAGACGCATGATCCTTGTAGTTTACATTACATTATTGCAACTCTCTATAATGGTTATGATGTAAAACAACTTCCTGTGGCTCATGATTTGATGACAGCTCAATGGGTGGTTTAATATGATAAACTAATGACAATGGCTCTATTTTGGTATGGTTTAATTATGATGGCGAAACGACGCCGTTAGAGAGAATGTATGAGAATCGCTTAAATTGGGCCTGATCTCAGGTTAATGATACACTCGCTGATGATAGTGATAGGAATGGTGCGGATATTGGTAAAGTGAATTTGGGTGACAAAGTTTTACAGTGCAGGATGAGCACTGGGCTTCAGCCGGCTAATTTAGATTTATCTGACACGCGCAATAAGGAAAGTTACCAAGAGGAAGATGTTACATCAGTTGACCATTTTACAAGAGTGGACAAGTGCTTTGAACTCGCGTCATCGTCCCCCTTTAAAAGACACGCTACGACTTTATCCTCCACCTATGCTCCGATCCTTTGTATTTCTTCGTTTTGTACCGCCTCTAGATTATCACTGGTCCGGTTACATGTTTCTGGGCCTCATTGGCCATGGTTCGAAATTCCATATTGCTCTACATTGAGTTCATTTTTTCTTGCGTTTGATACTGAAGGCGCAAGATGCGGAATTTTTCTTCGAGCCCTGATTTGTTTCTACTGTGTGACTTGCTGGTATTTGTTGAACAGTCCAGTCATTTGTGATTTTCACGGTTGTTTCGGTCGTTCTCACTTTCAGTCTTAATTTATAAATGTTCTTTTACTGCAGGGTGCCGGTCCAGAAGTGCCTAAATTTTTACGTTATGATGGTCAAGTGCGTAACAGACGTCTCGGTAAGAGAGACACTTCACTTCTCATCAAAGACATCTGGCAGGAAAAAGCAGCTCACGACGCTGAGGTAAGATAATCAGCAGAAAATTCTCTGTGAGAGGCAAGTCAAGTAGACAAACTCAGAGTGAATAGCAAAGTTTTTTAAAATATGCGCTATTAAAAAAAGGAGCAAACCCTGCCTTTCGAGGGTGCTGCCTCATCTTTAGTGGTTTAAAAGCAACTGAAAAATGCACGCTTAATGTAACGTTCTAATAAAACTCAAAACAAAGACGTAACGTTACATGTGCGCTCTGACTTTGAGAGCATTGAGGTCAACATTTAGGCCAGGTGGATCTAGACAAACACAGGGTGGGTATACATGCACTGTTTTTAGAACTGAAGGTAAAGAAACGATATTTTTACACAAGAAAGTACTTTGGGTTTTAATAAACCTTTGATTCGGTCGAATTAGGTATCAACCTCATTTTTAAGCATTCATTTGTCTCATTTGTTGAGCCACTCAAAAATATTTAACGACATTATAGTGGGTAGTAAGGGTTGTTAGAGGAGGCATGGTTGGATTCATCTTGCAGTATAGCGCATAGCTGTTTCATTTGCCTGATGGAGTTTTTTTATTACTTTTAAGTGTAGAAAAAGGAAAAAGTCCTACGGGCAAATGCGATGAGAGATTAGTACACGGCATTCTTACTCAGTCACCGTTTCTGCTTTTTACTTGTCCTCTTATGGGTCTTAGAGTCTTGTTTGAGAATCTCATTCAGGTGAACGCTTGCATTCCATTGCGCAAAGTACCACGATGTGAATGGGAGGCCTGATCGGCTCTGTGTAATTTTGAGTTTTATTTTTTTAATTATTTTTCCAGAAACCCGACGGAGAGCGTGAGGACTTGGGCGAGTTCTTGTATCAGTACCTCAACAGGCGGTTCGGTGTAGAAAACATGATTATAGAGTGGGGATATAACCTGTATGATGCCTGCGGTCGGTACACACATGATCCAAGGGTTGGTCTGTTCTATGGAATACTACAGAAGGAGGTATAGATTGAACAATGATCACTTTCCTATACTCATTTACTCTCTCCTCGGTATAATCTTAGTCACCAATATTGTCGAAATACATGCTTGCGATGGTTATAGCATGGTAAATGGTGTGCTCTGCTAAGTTTAGGAAGTAGCTATTCCCCAGTCGGTTGGTTATTGGACCAGTGCAGTAGCTTTCACCTTCCACTTCCTCTATTTTCGGGCCTACTGTTTAAAAGGGAGATATGTCCCTGCTCCTTTAAAGGGTCTCTTATTTCCCTCATTTCTAATGATATCTAAGTCGATCACGGATATACAGGTACGCGAAGCAAAGCTATGTGACTGTATACATGAGGTTGCGCAAGAAATATAGCATTATTGATTATTAATTTATTTATTGAATTAATGATATATTCATTTCATGTCTCACTTTCTGGATTTTAAAGTGACTCGAGTAACTTCAATTTTCAGATCGATGAAGCAGTTTACCACGATCAGTTAGTGATGTTAGAAAAACTTTACAACGCATTCACCAAAGTTGATCTGGCAGCGGGAAATCAGGTAAGGGATTGCTCTTGTCGTCTCTTTGCCGTCAGAATAACCAAATGTGTAATATTATCCGTCATTCAAGATATTTCTCCATCTCTTATTGGCTTTAATCTTTTGGCCAATTCTACGTAACCAGCTGGCGCTGACCAAATTTGGAATTGGTTTGCTATTTTTTACGTCGGTCACAGACGTCAGTGAGGGATACTATCAAATTGTAGACAATTGCTATCTTGCAATAACGACAACCTTATTCCGAGGGTTCCCTCAGAAAGTCAAAGAGAGAGGCAGATAAGTCTCAGATAACACCTCCTCGGTCTATATAATTGTTCATATCATACCCAGCCTCATCCAACTGACTGAATCGAAAACGCGGAAATCTGATTTTCTAAGGCTTTAATATTTTGACAGTTATAACTATAAGGATTATTTTCAAATAGTACCTTTATTTGTTTTTCCAGGGGTCGTTGTCAAGAGCGGACTTTGAACAGTGCTTACGTTCATTCTTCCCGCTAAAGGATGACGAATCGATAGAAGTTTTAATGAAAGCCTGTGAACAAGAGTCACCTGGAGAAAATGTTCAATACAAAAACCTGTTTACTGAGGTGAGAAGATCAAGAAATGTCGATTTGGTTAACGAGACCTCTAGTCGAAGAGTTTCACGAATAATCCTTAACATGTTTTTTTTTTGTTTTTTGGAAACGTTCTTTAAGTAATATATCAAACATGAGATGCAGTGTTTCATCACCAGATGAAACACCGAGAAGAGAGTTGAAAATACGACGCGCAGCGGAGTATTTTTGACGAACTTCGAGGTGTTTCATCTGGTGATGAAACACTGTGTCGAATGTTTGATATTTCTTCTCAAACAAAATCATTTTTGAAGGAGAAATTAAGGATGCAAATACTAAGCAGTGTTTCATCCGATTTCCAAACACTCATTAAACATTAATTTCCTTTGTATTTTCTTAATGAATTATTAATGAGTTTGAGAAGTCCACTTGAAGAAGTCTCAAAAAATCTCAAAGTCTCAAAAGATCGGAAATCTCATTCTGTGAACGTTTTTAAGACCTGCTACAGGGCCTTCTTCTAAATAATTATTACACAACAGAAACCAGTCTACAGCCCCTCTCTTTAAGGGTTTTGCTGTAAAACAGACACTTGGGCTTGATCTTTGCCATTCTCCAGCCCTTTTCCTTTAACTCTTTATCAGATGGACAGTTTTCTAAGTCGGACACTTTGTATTAATTCCAACGGTGTCCGTCGCGAAAAGAGTTGTCTTTACCATCAATTTACCTTTTGTTTGTAACAAGGATGAAGAAGGACGATCTGGACCATTTGTGGACAGGATACGAGAGCAAGAAAAGTTAGAGAAGACCATGTATGTAAAGGAGATCGAAAATGCCCTGACAGGCAACAGGTAAGATAAGCTTAAAGGTTCTTGTTTTGTTGATAAAATATATCAACATTTTCATTCTACTTTTACGGACACTTTTTCCCTGTCCTCGTGTTGTTTTGGTAATCAAATTTTTTTGTGTGGGGCAGTTTTATACGAAAACAGCTTTTGACGGTGATGGGGACTAGGAAAATGTGTTTATTGTGTCGAGAACACTAAATTTAAAAGCGGATGAAGCAAGTACGTCAACATTTATGTTTCTATGGTTCTAGAGTTCGTATTCGTTTATACAATTACTTGAAGAAAGACGTCGAGGCTGTAACACAATGGGAGAATCTACAGTGGAAAAGTAAAATAATACCCGAAGGTTAATCCCACCCTTATTTATTCTTAGTGAAGTGTCTGTAGAGATGGTGCGTCAGGCCATACAGTCAGTGGATCCTGAAGCTCCGGCCGAGGTTATTGATAAATATCTGGGGCGAGCGTTCCATACCGCGGCTGATCAACTAGAGTCTGGGACCAAGATTGAAACTACGCTTTTGATAAAGAGGCTGCAGAGTGGAAGTGTGAAGAGACTGGGACCAAAACCAAAGTAACTCGATGCTGATTGGTTGATTTTCAATAGGACTTATAAATAACTTTCTCATTTCTTTTACTTTATTTTTTCAAAAAAAATGGCTTATTTTATTTATGTGGAAAATAATGTTTTATCGAAAATCGGTATGTTATTCTATAACCTCATCAAACAGTAGTATGAAAATGAATGTAAGGTTGCGGGATTTCAGTGATAACGAACAAAACAAAACCATTTTTTTAAGCGGGAGAGCCCATCTCGTCACCAGAGCCTCCGGTTGCTGTGAAGTCGGGAACGTAAAGGGAGCTTGGTATAAACTAAAGTTTTTGTGCCCGGTTCTCGGTGTTAATGCGTCCATACCTTCTCCACCTGTCGCTCTTTCGAAACAATCTTTCAGCTTTCTAATATCAAAGATCGCGTACGTATCATCATGTCAAGACTTTCATTTTGTTTTTGAAGAAGTCACTCCATAACACCACTCACTTGTAACGCTGAAACGCAGCTGGTAACGTTTATTTATTAATTCGTCGAAAATTCTATTAAGTTTGTAAATAATTCAGATTTAGATACGCTGTTTTACCAGTAGTAGTTTACTTTAGAAAAAACGAAGTGAAATAAAACGAGAAATGTAACTAGAATAGTAAAAATCCTTAAAGCCTGGCGCCTGTTCATTCTGATAACTTTAAGGACGCACGTCGATTTCTACACTCGCGGGTATTATCCAAAACAACTTTACCAGTCAAACCCAAACAAGTCGTGATTTCGTGCGTCAAACAACGTATATCAAGTCCATCACACCCCTTGGATAACTTGTTATCACAACAAAAGTTCAATTTGTTTTTCAAATCGTTGCTATATTGTAGTGAAATTCAGGCTAAAGCGGTGGGCTTTTTGAAAGAATGTGTCTAAAGTGTATTGCGTAGTCCCTCTCGTATAAAATTGGAATCTAGTCGTAAAGCGCTGTTGCTGATCTGTCAGGACATGAAGGTACAAGACTGTCCCAGCCTCGTTCCCAGTCGTCCTCGGCGATTTCGGATGTGACGTCACCTGTCAAGCTTGTCGGGAAAATTCGCCTATCGCGCTCGGTTCCAAGCCTCCTCTGGTCACTCGGATAGCGCGAACAGGCCTGGGTACGAGGCTGAGACTGTCCATCTCTGAGAGTTGAACTTCCTTTATTTTGTGTATGAATGTAGCCTTTGGATAATAAAATTCGCAACGCTAGAGTTTTCGCTTTTCCACACGTGAAATTTTCAGTTTGTTTACCAATTCTTGCCCTCTATCGCAGCTTCGTTGTATGGCAAGCGATTTTGTTGTGTACTTCTTATATAAATACTTTAGCCCCAACACCCGGCTAAAGTACTTAAACGGCAACAAACGTCTTAGGGCCTGTTTACATGGAGGTGGGGGACCCCAGTTAGGTGAGGTGACCCGCCGCGGGTTACCTCACCTACCTCGGGTCCCCTACCTCCATGTAAACAGGCCCTTAAAATGAGAAAAGATAATTCTTTTGTGCAAATATTAGCCGTCATAACTTCTCAAAATTATATTATATATATATATATGAAAACAAAGGAAATAACTTGAAATGACTTGAATTTTCCAGAAATAACCATTAGCCTAGAATGGCATAAACTGAATAGATAGAGTTAAAGTCGATAAAATATGATACCCAGTGTTGCGACATACTCACAAAACACTCCCCTAGGTATTTAGTACAGTTTCGGAAAAAAAAGGCGATTAACCTGAATCTAAGTAAAGGTAATCAAACCTAAAAAATACTTTGTGAATATGTACTTCTCTCTTCAAAAATATTTGAAATTGCTTCAAACGGAATTGTCAGCACTTGATTGAAAAGTTCTTTCTTAAATATTTAGGTTTTGAAACTGAACTACAAAAAGGCTGAGAAAACAGCAGGCCTTTCGTGACGCAACCAACATTTTCCCTGCGTCGCGAGTTGCCGGCTGTTTTCTCAAGCTAAACTACCTTATCGTAACGTTAACATTTTATTGAAAATTCTATAGAGGATCGTGTAATTAGTGACAGTTTCTACATCTGGGATGGCACTTCTTTCCTCCAACGCGACACCTGCAACCTCCTGTTATATCGCCACTGCCCTATGGGAAGAAAACAATATATCTCGTCAGTTGTCTATCGTTATAAAATTTGGAAAATAAAAGACCTCTGTTGCTTGTATGCTCTGTTTTCTCTGTGAAGGTCTCAGGAGAATTTGCCCCTTTGTCTTTTCATAAATAACGCGTATTTATGCTTAGGAATGAGATAAAATTTGAAAGAAAGAGTTCGCAAGAGAATTATAAAGAAAGCCTGCATGCCGCCATTTTGAATTTGTGAGACATCATGGTTGCGACGAGCTCAAGGTAAGATATGAATTCAAAATGGCGACGTAGTTTTCTTCCACCTCAACCGCCAATAACCAGCCAGCAGCAAGTTTGGACGATGGCATCTATTATCATGGGCAAAAGTTTATGGTGACAAGAATGCCATTGTTCCAATTTTCTCCGAGGATGCTTTCACCTAAAAAGAGTATGGAATTTGGAATATTGTATTTCCTACAATTTACAGCTGGATAGCATTGGCGACAGTTAAGCTTCCAATAGGCGATTTGCGCGATGGCGTCATTTTACTACTACGACCAGAATTCTTTTCGTTTTCCTTTTCATATTCAAGATTTGGTAATCCCAGTGAGGTTTAAATAACAAAAACCCTAATTTGCACAAGAAAGCAAAACCCTGAAGGATCCTGGTCATAGTAGTAAAATGACGCCATCATGCAAATGACCTATTATAAGGCACTGTCGCTTGACCCCTGCGGTTTTAAGCGAAGTTGCGCGAAGCATCTCAAGACACTTTCTAAGCCTTTTTGCAGAGGGAGGTCAGAGCCTCTTATAGTGCTGGTATACAACACAATGAACACCCACACAGTCTGTCATGCAGAAATTCCCAAGACGAAGGACTTTGAAGTCATCGACAAAAATGTTTCCCAGCTCGCTAAATCACTGTATTTTCTTCATGAAACAAAGGCAAACGTCTATGCTTTCATCCTAGTCTCCTGCCCGCTATGCTAGTGGCACTCCCTGAAAAAAGGCCTAAAACACACGCCCTATACTACTCAGACATTCGGGTCAATAATAGGTCATGCACCTTCTCAGGCGTTTGACGCGGCAAGGAGTCAACCATAGGCCGCAAACCAATGCATCAATAACAAAAGCATATATACTCACCCCAGGTCCCCATCTTGGACCCCTAGTGGCCCAACAGATCTCTGTTCTGCACATGCTACACCTCATCCAATCACAGCCGTCCTTTTTGACTAAAATAATCTTACACATTGGACAGTGCATGGCGTCTCCACCTGCTACCATATTCTAGAAAAAAAACAGGGTCAAACTCATTCTTATCTGTATGCACCTCGGTGGAGAGAGGTGAGAGGTATTTTAAAGAGGTATTTTCCAAGGTCAACATAGTTGTATTACTTAACAGGGGCGGATCCAGGATTTGTTTTAGGAGGGGGTGCACTCGTCTCTTGCTCTACTTCAACACCAATAAACCACATAGTTTTTTTGGCAGAATACCAGTTGTATTAGAAAACCGCAGGTCAACATATTTGATCCGCCCCTGCTTAATGTCTGGACTGCTACAAAGGATATCATCACTGCGGTGCTTTTTTGAAGAAAGGGTATAGGTATAATATCAACGTGAGATAATTTGTTGCATATCAATAATCCCACCATGTAAGAGTAAGACGGGCAGAGAAATTGCAAATAACACTTTATTTTATTTGCGCGAGATGGGGATTGGGAAAAGGAGCTTCTTAGACAAAAGAGACTTGGGTGCATGGAGTATTTCGAAATCTTAGCTTGTTCCAGGCCCTGCTTGGCCCTGTCTCGATGAAAATTTTCGCGCAAAAGAAGGCGGGAAGGAAAAAACGGGCCATGGTCCACTGCACTTCGTCAACAGACACTCGCGTGTCTTTCGAGTCTCGCGCTCTCCTGTGTGCCAAAAACGAAGCGTCGTCTTTAGCGCTCTCTCTTTTTCTGCGCCCACTTTTCTGAGACGCTGGAAAACGTTAGGTATTTCTTAGTGGAAAGCAGGCACTTGCTCTTTTTTTTATAATCAAAGTTCTTATGATTGTCAGTTATTACTTTGTAGAGCATTACGTCGGTATTTCGGAAACGCATGTTGCATTGTGGTTTGAGTATTGTTCAGTTCTTTTTATTTTCTTTCTTCGTTTGTTTCTATTTGCTAATAGCGCTATTCGCAACATCAAGAAACTACCCTCGTTGAGAAAGAGAGGGAGGGTAATAGAGGATTTATTTCACTTGCTTATTTACTTTCTTATGAAATTATGAATACATGAAAATCATATATATATCATACATCACCGCAGTTATATACGCACATATCATCGCTGTTATATTCACATATATGATTTTCATATATTCACAATTTCATGATCATCCTTTCACTGGTTTATAACTAACCAATTCAACGACCTGCTGCCATGAGTTGGCTTGTTAGCCTAACTGGTAGAGCGCTGCACCGGTATCGCAGAGGTCAAGGGTTCGAATCCCGTACAAGCCTGAATTTTCTTCAGGCTTTCTTTTCGCAACTGCATACGTTGCGTATATAACTGCGATGATCTTCCTTCAAATGATTAATTTCTTATACTCGTTAAGAAGGTCATGGTACCCTAAATATTTACCTCAAGAAACTCTTGCGTCTTTCTCGCGGCCTCGTCATTCTGTGCCCTTCGTTTGAGGTCATCTTGATATTCCTTGCAGTTCATGTTAAGGTGAATGGCTTTGCACGTCAAACAGTTCGGTTGATTGCAAACGGGACAGTGGAACGTATTGACATTATCCTCATACAAACACCACCCTTGACAGTTCGGAGTTTTGCAGTGAAAGCTGTTAGCGGCTTGGCTTTCTGCCGTAGCGAGACTGCGGTTCAAGAACCTGTTGAAATCTTCCTCGGATAGAAGCTGGAAAAAAAGTTTGGAAGAAGTTAAAATTTTTGGAAGATTTCGTTTTAGTTAGAGCTCATCACAGTGGGAAAAATTTCATTCGCCACTTGCACATCTCCCATAATGCACCTTATTTGCCGCCCAAAATTTTGCATAACCTTTGTTTTTCATGTCTCCTGGGTATTACAGCCGTCCAAGAGAAAACAATGCTTATGCAAAATTTGGGGGTGGTGGGGGGTGTGGGGGGGCAAATAAGGTGCATTGTGGGAGATGTGCAAGGGGCAAATGAAATTTAAGCGTAAGGAAGTATTTGCCACTTAAGAAACGAGAAGAGAACTGGAACCAAAATGCATCCAGCAATTGTTTCTGGGATAGTCACTGTGGACGCACCGGACAGCTATTGGCTATTTTTTTAACAGCCCCAGAAGTCTTTGAGAACGTTAACTCGACCCAGTTCCCTTTTCGTTTGCAAAGTAGCGAATAGGGCTTAGCGTGTAGACAAAACAATGTGAAGACTGTTTCAAAATTTACATAATAGCTCGTTTAGAGACTAAACAAGGTTTGCAATGGTCAATAAACCGCCACTACTCGAGTTGCACTAAACAGAACAGCAGTGGCTTTCCTGTTTGTGAAAGTTTGAATATGCTCCCTTTCATCTATGCCGCCTTTTCTTCCGGCTCCCACGTCTCGCTTTCCGGGCTCCCTGTTGCTCTCCACCATTTAGCAACCCACTTACCGCCTGAATTTCTTGTCCTGTAATAGTTGCGTGACAGGCGTAATTTTCATCCTGGTGAGGACACTGCACTTCCGGATCTGTTGCGTGACGAATGTGTTCACTTAGACAAGCCCTAAAGAAAAGAAGGAGAAATGTAGATGATTCACTGCATTGCGCACTGAGAAGCTGTTGTTTGGTGGTCGCTGAAACAAATCATTGCAGTGAGATCCGCATTCCCAAATGCCCAATGCCTTATGCCCAATGACCCATTACCAAAGCAACATTTTTTGACATAGGTATATGTCATATTCATCATTTGCACATCTCCATAATACACCTTGTTTGCCCCCCCAGTCCCCCCCCCCACCCAAAAAAAATTTTTTGCATAACTTTTTATTTTAATCTTTCCTGAATGTTACAGTCTACCCAAGAGAAATTGAACACAATACTTCTTTCTTTCTTTTTTTTTGGGGGGGGGGAAGGGGGGCTAAAAAATGCATTGTGGGCGATGTGCAA